TATTGTGTGGCAGATGGCATACCGTAGCTTAATTGGAATTAATGTCATTTCAATGACAGGTATTGTAACATCCAAATGCTAATAAAGTCTCAAAACAAAAATATTCACCAAAATATTTTGTAATGATCAATATACTGGTCAATTAGTTTGACATTGGTAAACCAGAAGAATACAATAAAATAGTGCACTACAGGGTTTAAATTTAGCCAAAAATAGTACTTTCCAGATAGAAATTAGTGTTCCCATATTAATGCGAAATGAATGCATATTGTTTTTTATTCATTTGCAGGAATATTACATCTACATAGGTCTGTTAATCAAATTTGGAAAAATGCTACTGAGTAACGGTTCATTGCGAATTATGTCCCAATTGTTTAATAGGGTTAAGACCCTAGTATTCATGGGTCGAATGTTCTGTAGTTGTGAATATAGTTTGCCCATCATTGATTAGGCATTGATTCACGTAAATGTGAGATACGATTATCATGTTCATTATTTGAAGAGTGTCTTTCAATATCACTATCTGTGTAATCTTTTTCACGCAATTTTTCAATAAATAGATCACGTTTTTGTAAAATCGTTTAGATTATTACATGTTCGAGCATACCGGATGGTTCGCTTTTAATAAATCATTTGAATACTAATGTAGGATGACGTACAAGAATTGCGTTTCAAATGTTGAAACGTTTCCGTTTTCTTGATGTGCATTTTCACGTCTAATATATTCAAATCATGGAAGCGTTGTCCTTTATATAGGTCAAGGTTAAAGTACATGACTTGTGTTAGAGAGTATTCAAATGTGAGCCGGTATTTGCTATGAAGCATATTAGCTTCTTTAACAAATTTGTGTAATTCTGGTACAGTACTTTTGAATAACTTGAAGATGTCATCTCGAAAACGATACCAAGTTTTAATATATCGAGCACCAAGTAGTAAGTAAAATTCGATTTCCCAGTAGGTGGAATGTTATGTCAGCAATCTCAGGTGAAGACGGTGATCCCATGCTAACTCCACATGCTTGGGTATAATATTCATTATTAAACTCGAATGTATTTCTTTTCAAAATGATTTCAAGAAGTTTAAGTATATATTCCAAAGGCAGCGATATCACTGTGATTGTAATTCGATTGCATTGCATTGGCGGTTGCTCGGATCGCTCTTCGTGGACAGTATTAGTATACATTGATACAACATCCATGGTTACTGGGACGTTATTTCAGATATTTGTATTTTTTCGATTTTGTTAATAAAATCAGTAGTATCTCTGATGTATGTATGTATGTTGCCTTTTAACGATTGGAATTAAATTCAATCAATTCTGATATTTTTTTCGTCGGACCAGCGCAACCACTGATTATTGGTCAACCGATCAATATACTGCCTTCTGATGGTGGTTTGTGTACTTTAGGCAGTAATTATCACCGGGGCGTTCTAACGTTGTAGTTAAATGGGTTTGTATAATTATACGTGTCGTAATCGATTAAATCCAGGTTGTACATTTTTGTAACGAGTTCATGGACCAAATTAGTTGTAACCATGGTATCGTTACCATTAATTATAGTATAGTATTGCTCGTTGTTTAGCTGACGAAGGCTTTCATGTATATAGTCAGTTGTATTCATGATTGCAATGCCGCGACCTTTGTCAAATGGTTTTATTACAATTGTGTTATCATGATGTAGTCTTTTTATTGCTGCTCTTTCGACAGAATTCATGTTTTGTTTGAGTTAATTGGTAGTAATTTTGAATATCTCAACTTTGGTTGCCTTAATATAGTTTTCGAGTCTCCTGTTATGTGAGTCTGGTGGGTTCCATGTTGATTTTATTTTGAAAGGGTGTTTTTGAAATTGTTTATTACGCATTAAATATTTGATACGCATTCTCCTAGATATCATAGACATGTCTCTGAGCAAAATGTGATAGGTTGGCTTTGTTGGGGTTGGTATAAATTTGTGTCCGTTGCCAAGGTACCCATAACGATAATAACAATGGCTCAGATTGTGCTAGTTGTAAGTTCGTTTAACAACGAATATAGGAAAAGGAAGTGCTTAAGATAAGCATGCAGCATACAGTCCGAGATATCGATGTATAACGAAGAAGAGACATGGTTTAAACTGCGGATGAACCAACATAGTAGGGGGCTAATAAATGAATAAGTACGAGAAATATGTATAGCAACTGTATTTAATTTATAAACTGCAAAATCGTAACGATGTGGGTGTAGACGGTATTAAGATAAATGTGAGTCACTATATTAGAAATCTCGCCGTGTTCACATAAGTAACGTTGAAGTTACGATCGAATATTTACGAAAAAGTTCGAGGCTATCGCGGATCTCAGATCTCTGCTAGTTGTAGCAGTGGGCGGGGCTTGGCCACTGAGACGTTGCGTGAATCTGATTGGTTGATATAGATGCATCGATTATCCTGGTATCCAGGCTAGTGGATGGCGTAGTCGGTTCAGATTATGCTAGTTGGACGTTCATTTAACGGCTGTATATATTCAATAAATTGCGAAATCGCAACGAAATGGGTTTAGATGGTATTGTGACTATTGTAAGTCACTATATTAGTAACCTCGCCATGTTCATATAAGTAACGTTAAAGTTACGATAGAATATTTACGAACAATTTCGAGGCTGTCGCGGATCTCAGATCTGTGTTAGTTGTAGCAGTGGGCGGAGCTTGGAAATAAGTATTATAAATCATCATATAAGACGACGCCACTCGACCAGCTATCTACCCAATGACGTGCCACTGTTGTCACAAACATGGTTAATAACCGTTGCTAGTAATCGTGTTTGCAAACTCACTGCAGATAAACTTGCTTAACATATTTACAGAAGCTATGTTCCTACTCGTCAAATAGTAAAGTCACCGGGTCGAATACCGTTCAAAAACATCGTCCTCAGACAACTAATAATTATTAGTTGTCTGAGCATCATCATACGTGTGTATAATATAAGCACGAACAGATTATTTGACATTCAAATAGACAGTAATTCACGTAATAAAATTGCCACACTAATTCTATGAACGCATAGACCGAGTAGAAAACTGGAGATGCTGAATTGTACGAGTTACGGACCTCGAGTTACGAATACGTCGAGTTACAGAAATTACCACGCCCATATTTTTTAAACCACGTGCCCTTTTGTGAAACCACGCCCACATTGTTACAAACAGAACTTCGAGTTACGGGGAACATACATATTGTTTTTTGTTGAACGTCCACATTCAGTAACTCGAACTTCGATTTACGAGCAACATGTGTTTTTTGTTTTGTTTACCTTTTGTTTACCTTTATATTGGCACTCGCTCTTTTTGACTAGCAATAAGCTTGCTTGTTTCAATTTTTGAGCTTTATTCGTAACTCGATGTTCGTAACTCGAACAATTCAGCATCTAAGAAAACTGCTTGTCTTAATTGTCCTTAATTGCGGATTGTGTGTTGTTATACCGTACGCGTGTTACGTAACTTATTTTGTATAGAAGGATGTATCATGTAGTATTATAGTACTACATGCTGCATTCAACCACAAATCACCTACTTAGCTCACATACTTCATACTTCTCGTCAATCTGTAAATCGCTAGTTCTATTCCGGGGTACCAATTAAATGGATGGGGGATTATGGGAGAACAACCTCGCCCTAGAACACAGTCCGTTTCTAATAAACTGGTTTTGTCGATAACAAAGAAACTAGTAAACGGAGACTGTTTGGGACAAAAATTAGTTTTTTTCCCAGAAAATGCCGACAAAAGATACCAAACAAAAACTGTTCGTTATCAAAGATTAGCAGTTATTACTCTCATATATAACCATGGCAAGTTGTAGCCATCTATATTTCACGTTCTTATATAAATTATTTACTGACTCAATATATATATTTCTAGTCTTAGGTATCTGTGTATTGACGATATATTTTATGACATTGCTTCACTCGCACTCCCAGCTTTATTTCATTTCTACAATATAACGTACGTCATTATGCTGACAAACAACCACCGCCCTCTAAGATTACAATCGCATAATAAATACTCATTGAACCAATCACTGACACTTTTGTTGAAACTAATAGTATATGATTCATTCAATCATCGTCAAACTGACGTGGTATATATCAACCGCGACCCAAGTGAGTCACTTCCCGGAATCTCTATGTCCATATTACAGTTATCAATGACTAACAGTTGTACAAAGAGTTATACTTGGTTAGATTCTCACAGGGCCTATAACCCGCTTTAAACTACCGTTTAGATGAAATCTGCTGACGGCATATACTAGTAAGTCAAAGAATGTCATCAACTTACGCCAATTGTAATTGTATTTACAACAAATAATCAAACAACACACGTCATTTAAACTCATCAAAACACCATATATTCTGTAGACCATCAACGCATATTATTTAGTATTGACTAATGTGAAGCTTGGAGACAATGCGAATACTGGTGCTCTGTGTTGAAATTAGACCCTCAATATATTATGGCGAATAATAGTGATAGTTGTGGAGGTTTGCGAACTGCAATACATAATTATGTGTCGCATCTTTACTGTTATAATAGTTATAATTTTATTTACACGCGATGCATGGTACCCTAAACACCTTAAACATTTTACTCAGAATTCCGATTGATTGACCACACCTGATTCTTATTGTTACTTGTTTGCTATCTCACATGACATCACTAATATCGGTCAGATGTTAGTCATAAAACCAATAGGCTGTTTCGTTTCAATGGCGCTTAGCAGAAAATCAATATTTATAGATAATATATATATAAAGTATAATACAATTAAAATGCACTTTGAGAATGTAAACCTCTACGACAATCTCATAGTACAGTGAATCATAACAATTATTTTTATTTTGAAATGAATTAAGTAACTATGAAAATTGAAAGCGTTCTTTTTCAAAATGTTAAACCCTTTGTGATTATAACGTTAATTGTACTCAACTTGAAATAGAGTGGTCAGTGCCATCTTAGGTAAAACTATCTCAGGTGAAAGACTCTGTAATCACCGGACCCAATCCTGCCATTATAACATCGTCGATGACAGCAGGTATTCCCTCCATTTCTACTTGCGGGTCACATTTGTAGCGTTTTAGTTGTAATCCAGGATTACGAGCCAAGGTCAAGGCTACAAACCACCTATTGCGTATAACTTGTCGACGCCGAGAAACTGATACAATACGATTACTACCAGTGTCAACTGCTTCTGTCAATAAATCAAAATAGTTATATAAATATAGGGATGAAGCAACATGGCCGCAAAGCAATCCTTCATCTAATAATATGAACCAATGATGTCCAGCAATTGCCATGATTAAATATAGCATTACAATATCATGAAAAGTTGGTAATTTAACACCAGCTCTGACCTTCAATGCCGTTTTCCATATTAACAACCAATTGCATTTGAGAATGTTTAGTTGGCGATTTCGCAGAGTTCTCATTGACAGCACTCATCAATAAGTTGCAGAATGTCACCAGAATCGGATGGGTATGAGCATTCTCTAATTGTAAAAATCCAACATAAGCTCTGTAACCTAAACATAATTATAATACGTAATAAGTAAATGCAACTTTGATTGTTGTCATTCGAACTTAATCGAAGCGGGATTTAATCCCCACTATTTTTTTAAAACTTTTTTGGTACATAAAATCACCAAAGTTTTTGCTCTCTGTTCTTTCCTTTTGTTTACACACCACGGAGAAATACGAAAATTAATACGAAATGATTGTCAATTATATAAACTGGTAGCGGAAGTAACTTTTCATTACCTGGGTCGAATCTTTCATATTTTCTAGGGAGCGTACTTTGATCAATACGTGACATCACGAATGCACTGATTATAATCGATTTGAATAATCTTATCAAACACGATACAATTCCAAGGAACACGTTGTAATAGAACATAAAGTAGGTAAAGTTATGGAAAAGACGCCTGAAATGAAACACGAATCATTGAGTTTGAGATTACTATGTGACAATGCATGCTGTTCGCGTGACGATTTTCAAATAACGTTAGTCGACTTGTTTTCATTCATTTTATTAGCTGCCAGGGGTATTATCTCTCTGGATGCATGTTATAGTGACATCTTATATTTCATACTTTTAAGCCTAAAATTAACGCAGGTTATATGCGAATGGGTAGATACTCATCGGAATGATAACAAATAATATTTCCAAACATTGCTTTTACAGTATGTGCGCATTTCTTGTGCTTGTTAGGTGTACAAATGTAAAAGCAACATGTATAATATCTCGTATCCCAAAATCAGTGATAATACGCCGACAGAAGGCATCAGAATAGCACCATTTACTTTAACTCGAAGTTTAATTCACTATATATTGCATGCGGAAGATACTGTAAGAAGCAATAGCGGAAATGAAAGATACTTAAATCTCCGTCATTATTTGATTGGTCACAGAAAGTAACACATATGACTAAGAACACTTTACCTGTTGTCCAATGCAAACACTTTCCCATGATCTTGAAGAAATACAAATCGTGCCATAAGGTACTGTCCAAGGGTCACCAATAAGCCGACCAGAATTATTGGCCTAAAATAATAAATTAACACGCCACGGTATGTAGTTCGTTGAATGGAAATTACTTGTCAAGCGCTACCTCACTATTTTGTGGTGGTTTATTTATACGCGACTATTACAGTTATATCACCACGTATCGGAAGACGTTGTGTAACGCGGTGGTGTGATTTTTCCACTGTAATTCAACGGATGTATTTGAATAACCTTCAATAATGCAATGGAATGCGTTTCATGTGTACTGTTGGATACATACTTCATTAGTTTTTGGTTGTAATCCGTACATATTAATTATCTAATTTGTGTGTCATAATCTGTGTATTTTAATGATTTGCTGATTAGTATTGTTTAAGACATGAATATAATTTATCTAATTATGACTGTACGCATGACTACTCAATCTAGTACTGCCAACAATATTTAAACCGAAATGTCAATGTGAGTGCATCGCATATGGTGTACACTGTGCGTGCGACCTCAATAATGCGTGTAAACATCGCCATGGGCACGCAGAGTCGTCAATGGTCACGTTTATTTCAGGGAGCAGGGATAGATTATAAAATTGCCCTAGCAAATTGCAGAATGACTATATTTCTAGAAGACGTATGCAGGTTTGTATATTTCTATACATGTTCTGTATGGCATATGATGTATGGTAAATATTTAGGAAGTCGAAGTAAATGCTTGTAAATAAGAACGCACCCTAAATATTCGAGTAGTTGCCACAGTACTTTCCTGCAAGCATCGTCACCCAAAACAATTGCCAGTAAAAAAACTCCAATACCAATAACCAAAAACTGTATGAAAAAGCCTACAAAATAGAATTGTTTAATATTAAAATAGTTGCACTTTCGCAACTACTCAGCATCGTTTAGTTGCAAAAGCTAAACCGATCATAAACGTCATAATGGACAATGAATACATATTTTGAAAGATCATGTTCCATATTAGTAAATGTAATATTCACATGAAAGGGATTCAATCAAACGATTACAATTTAAAACATATTTTCCCTTACCCCAAATCATATAGGCAACTTGAAATCCCATGTATCGACTGGCAGATACCTGTACAATAGTATACATATAGTAGTGTTAATTGCCACGGATTTTCGGATGGTCATAGAATCTCAGGAAATCACGTAATATTAAGACAACTAATAAATCAGTTATAATACTTT